CTTGATGCATAACACTGTTCAAAAACGGACAGCCATTTCGCCCATCTACCCGTAAAATTTTAGTTTCCATTGGCATTTTTTCCTGACACGCCAGGATCTTCCTTGAGATGGAAGAAAGGAAATCACCAATCGCTCTGGAAAAACAATTGTGGAAATGTCATAAAATGATAGCAGTAGCATTATGTAGACGTTTATCCAAATTCGTAAAGAATCTGTTAAGGTTTCGATAGTTTTCAGGTGTTAAGTTAGAAATTATGGCGAAGAATGCTTTACTGAATGCAAAGATTGACAATTCGGTAGAGGTGAATGCGATTGATGTTTTGAAAGACTTCAAGTCGTCGAGTATTGAACCGAACATAGATACATTCGCTGCGTTGTCAAGGATATATGCACTGAAAGGGGATGTCGTCGGAATTGTGTTAGTCTGATTAATTGCATCTCAATTCAGTAATTCATATATTTTCAATTCAGCTATTATCGGAAGATTTTATGTGTGTCAACAATGAATGCATACAATTTACTTAATTTTTAATGCATCAAAGAATTTTATGTGATAGTTTGAAAAGGCAAATTTTGTTTCAGTGAAATAATAAATCACATGAAAGAAGCGGGCATTGCAAGTGACCAACGAATAATTGAATCGATGATATACGCGTTGGCCTTATCAGATCGTGACGAACAAGCTCTATCTATTATCAAGGTTGCATTCATGCAAGTATTAGTGACTGTAGTTTTTGGTAGAGGGAAGCAAAAAATTATTTCTGAAAGTTTTCAAACGAGTGGAAACTTTGACATAACATTTATTAAAGATTTCACTCAATGTTGACGCAGCGTTGAGTGAATGAAAAAAAAAATTGCATTCATGCGAGAATTAGTGATTGCAGTTTTTGGTAAAGGGAAGCGAAAAAATTATTTTTGAAAGTTTTCAAACTAATGGAAATTTTGACGGTACATTTGTTAAAGATTTTCACTCAAAGTTGATGCAGTTTTAAATGTTAGAATTTGGAAATTGTGTAATATTTCAGTCCTTTTCAACGACTAATCAAACCTTCTCTGAAGAAGCAAAACTTCGTATCAGTTATGCGAATGCAAAAGCCTCAAAGGGAGACATCGATAACGCGTTGAAGGTAAATCTTTGAGGTTGTTTGTTGGAGTATGAGAGCATGAAGCTTTGCCTATTGATCATTAATGTTTTCGTATTATACAAGCGTGTTTTCATATCTGTCTTGTACAGTTGTGAGCAGTTTGTTATTGTTATATCTGTTAAATTCTGCTCAAGTTTGTTAAAATTGGATGTGAGATTCTATGTCTACAATTTTTCATAGATATTCGATGGTGTTTCGGAACGATTGCGAATCCGATCGAAAGAGAATTCAAATTTAATGCTCAACATTCTGTTCACTTTATTGGAGAAACATGATTGGAACGGTGCTGAAAAGGTATCTTTATCAGTTTGTTTAGTTGACTTATTGAGTTGATCTGAGACAGTCGTCGTAAAGAACACGTTCGATGGGACTTTGCATCGAACTTGATTCACATCGTTAAAATGTTTAGCAAAATTATGGACCTGTTCGAAATTGTTATCGTCGCAGAGTGTTTGGTGGGAAGTTCAGTGAGATTATTTAAAATTCTCCGAACCCGCAAAACTTCTTCAAAAAATAGACGATTAGTTAGGTGTGCGTTGTGATTGTTTTGAGGCCAGAAAAAACGTATGTTTCAGCTGAAAAGTTTGCTGAATTTGGATGAAGATGGCAAATTCTCGGATTATATTGAATTCACGACAGTTCTCGGTCGAATACGTCAATATCGTGATCAAAAAGAGGCGAATGTGGAAGGCGCCATTTATTTATTCAAATTATTACCCGAGAAATATGCTAGGTAAAATTTTTGCTCACTATTGTGGTTGTGCTGTGCCAGTTTAGCCAACTCCAGAAAAGCATAGAGCTGTGCGGTGCCATGACTCTACTTTCATAACTTCACAAAAGATAAAGGAAGGGAACAATAGGAGATTAGTAACGGGATCACGTCGTAATTGATTGCTGTTATTCATTTCAGTGATGGTCACTTTACGGTGTGACTCTGCATATTGACTGCATTAAAATGATTTCGATTGCAACGAGTTTTAGATGTCTAGATCGTGGACGGACTTATCATTACTGTGATTGATAATCATGAATTTATTGTTGCTTTCTTTTGGAAAACACTGCCATGCAATTGGGTGGTTAGAGCAGTGAATTAATTTTTGTTCATATTGATTTCTGAATGCACTTTTAGAACGCAACGAGATTTCTTCAAGAGTTATCTTTTTGATAAATTGAAGCAGTCGAGCGACGTTGATGAATCCGTACAACTGGGCGTTCAGTTGGAACAGGCCGATATATTGAAGTAAGTTCAGTGACCAGATTCGTTATTTAATGGTTCATTGATTATCGATTCAAAACTTTTATTTGTGGAACTGAGTACCGTTGACAGTCGTTGTTTTATTTTTCATCGCTCCTTTCTATTTCAGGAATCCACGAAGGATTCTTATCGATCATGCTTTGGCGAATAATCGAGCTAGATTCTATGAGTTGTATGAAAAGTTTCTGAAAAGTGATGAGTTCAAACGACTCGGTAAACGCGCACATCTCGCATATCCGTATATCGTTCATTCCTTGAATCAGGTTAATTTTTAATTCGGTATTGTTTCTAACGATATTTTATTGCATAGTGATTGTATATGCAGAATCATTTAAGTTTGATCATAAATTTCTAAAGGTATTCATGTTGCAATGTGATGCATTTCCATGTAATTTGAATTCAATTTATTTTCATGACATTATGGTATTCAGATGTAGCAACCCTCATGGTTTTCGTACAGTATTTATTACACGTTTGTATTGCATTGTATAAAAGCTCGTTCAAATAATTGTTCTCTTCCTTGTTAACATTAGCTATTTGCTTGATAAGCTCCTATCGTTTGTTACCGCTTCAGAACCAGTTCGTTTTCCAACGGATAAAGTCAATAGCTTAGGCAGAGATTCATTTACAGTTATTTCCTCATTAATTATTGCTTAAGAACGTATAATTTCATATTACAGTTGTCAAATAGTAGCAATGAGAAGAAAGTTGAAATTTTTGTACATATAGCAAGTGCCCTATTCAAATGGGAACAACCGGAGATGCGATTTCTAAAGCAGTGGTTTATGGAACCACTCATGAAAAGTGAGTGATTCTTTGGAATGGAGAATATGAAATTTTCATTGAAAGGATTTTTTTTAAGATTTGAATTTGTTTATTTCATTTGACAAATAATGTTTGAAATTCTGTACGAGATGAAATGTTTTCAGTGTTACGGATATTGACATTAGGCTTAATCGCCAGTGAGCGAGTGAATTGATTCAATGATCTTTATGTTGATTTCAGTTGACCACATACTTCTTGTTAACATTGCTATCGATTTTCACAGAATTTTGTGGTGTCTTATTAGTGAATTATAAATATTCATGTTGTGCTGTTGAAGATTCGAGTGTGTTGACGGAAGTTATGTGTGAAATTTGTAAAGACGAAAAGATCCGATCGAATATCGCTTCAATGGTTATCGATCATTTATTGTTTAGAAATAAATTCAAGGAAGTGACGGAACTTTTGGATGGGTGAGTTTGAAGGATTCATTCGAGCGGTGCACGAGATTATAGATGTCCCACTGAGCATTAAACTGTATCAGTTCTCATTTCGTTTCACTTTCAACGAAGAACTGAATTGACATCAATTTTGATCATTCAGTTCCAAAAAGAAATTTGATTCAATTAAACTGAAACACTATTTCCATCAGTATGGGTCAAATGAATTGAACGATTATATTCGATCTAGTCAAAAACTCTTTCAGCCCATTGAAAGACGTGCATCTGAAT